TGTGGGATGCGGCCTCAGCATGGCTGGACAAGCGGTGCGTCGGTGCCCGCCCGGGATCCCAACCCGGGCTGCCAGTAGTGGAGGGTGCGCACTTAACCGCTAAGCCATGGGGCTGGCCCCAAAAACCCTAGTTTAGATTTGCAGAATATGCTGCAGAATCCTCCAGTCTCTCTTGGGGAAGCCAGGCACTGTGGGAGAAGGGAGGCTAACTGCCCAGAGCCGGCCTTGTTTCCAGAGGCCTCGGGGAATGAGGGGCCACGTGGAGAGACACAAGAGAGAGAAAGGCCGGGGCACTGAGGTACCATCCTGAAGGGGCGATCTGGGGAGGGGACCCTCCAGTCCCGGTTGCCCCAGCCGGGGCCACATGGAGAAGAGATCAACTACCCAGCTGAGCTCTTTCTAAATTTCTGATGCACAAAATTGTGAGCAAAATAAAATGGTTGTTGCAATCTACCAAGTTTTTGGGGTAGTTTGTTAACGTAGCAATAAGTGACAGGGACAGAATTCTAGGGCCTGGTCATTCTTCCTGCACAAAGCACTCTTTGGCACCGTGGGTCCTGGGCTGAGTATCATTCGTGACTCCGGAGGGTGAGCGGGCAGGCGGTCCTGATCCTCTTTAGCCTGTCACTTCTTTCACGTGGGCACTCCCCCTTAACTTTAAGAACCATAAAAAAATCCCGGAAACTGTCTAATGGAAAATGGAACCAGCTGATTCTCCTCTGTACCTTGTGAACAATTGCCCTGCCAGTGAGAATTCCTCAGAGGAGCTCTTCTGGCCTCTCCCAACTTTTAGCTCTCCCAGGCAGGCCGGATGTTGAACGGTGGCTAGGTGGGCACACAGCCTCAAGGGCCACCAGGCTTGTGTTCTGTCGACCGGCAGGGTTCATCCTGCTGGGCCCATTTCACGTATAAGCTTAGGTTGGCTTTGTGGCTTTTTTCTTCCGTTCTCTCTGGGGAGTGACGTTTTGCGTGTGTCCTTTTTGGGGGGTGATAAAAACCGAACTGCTTACGCAGCAGCAGCGCATGACTCCCAGCCCAAGGCTTCTATTGCTCTTTTCTTCTCTTCTCCGTCCACAAAAAAATAATTTCACATGAAACCTGTTCTCTGGCCAAGGCTTGTCCCCTCCTCAGCGGGGGGCTTTCTTTTTTGTTGACTTTAGAACAAATTCAGATTTCCGTCTCCAGATTTTGGGGCATGCAGCTCCAGCTTCCTTTGGAAACTTCACTTAAATACCAGCGTATTTGGAAGCCCTTCTGCCTTCTTCCTCCCACAGCCTAATAATTCCTGAACCGATGGGTTGGAGCAGTCCTGAGGGTTGGGGGAGGCAGCTGCGTTTCTGAACTTGGGTGTACTTAACCCATGTTTTCCCACCTGGGGTGGGAGATGGCGAGTAAGACAGAGCAGAGCCCTGGGGTGGGTTGGCATGCCACCTCTGGAGCTTGCTAGCCTTGTGACGGGCTCTAGGCATAGTAAGATGCCTTTGAGCCTCAGTTTCTTCCTGTGCAAAATGGGGTTCAAATAATATCCATAAAGCACCAGGTAGTGCATGGGGCACAGAAAAGATCCACAAGAAACTGCTGCTGTCACGATGAGGACGATGATGGTGTGAAGATCTCAGGGGAGCCCGGCTTCTCAGACAGGGCTGGTGATCTGGTGGGTCTAGTGGAGAAAGCTCTGCTACATGTTCTCAGAAGCCAGCCACTCCCGACACGCTTTCCTCCGTGGCCCTTGAGGAGAACCTTTTAGACAATTACCCACATGCACAGAAAAGTGACGAGACTCTGTGATTCTCCCGTTCTCCCTCAGCTGAACCAAAACTTGAGTCTTTGCAGATAAGAAAGGTGAAAGTGTCAATTTTCCTTTCCATTCTAAAGCAGAACTCCTCAGCGTCCTGTTGCTGTAAATGTAAGAGTATAAATATTCTTTCTCTAAGCCTCATGTACAATAGGAATAACACTGATCGGCTTAAATTAACAATAAATCGCACGTGGAGAATCTAGGCCTGAAGTGGGGGAGAGCATGTGGTCTCAGGGTCGCAGACCTTGGGTTGGGTTCAGACCTCCCCCTCACTAGCCACATGGTTTGGGACAAGTTGCTTTATCTTTCAATACCTTGGTTTCTTCATCTGTAAGATGGGAATAATATTTGCTACTTGTGGGACACAGTTAGGATGAGATAATATATGCGAAATACCTAGCACTGTGCCCTGCACATAGTAGGTACACTAATGGTGTGTGAACCCTCAGAGATCAGGGACTCCAGCTCTGTTTTGCTGTGGTGAGAAGAGCTGGGAAGGATGCGGTGAACTTCCCTGCCTGTGCCAGGCCACTGAGCACTTATGCTGGTGGTGTCCGCACAGGCTCAGTCTGAAAGGAGGGGTCCCAGGGCCCAGGGGAGACCAGAGGGAGCTGTGACCTCCCTAATGGCCATGGGGCTGGCACTTCCAGGCTGGCTGCATGGAGTTCATTCTCCTCTGTGTCTGGGTGACTCAGCCAGGGTCTTGGACAGAGTCCCTCTGATGGAGGAGAAGCCCAGGGTGGTCTTCTTCACCTCGTTCCCCTCCTTGTAAACTGAACATCCAGCATTTTAAAAGGACTCAAAAGGCGACTTGCTCACAGCCGTCCCCCTTTGCACTGGACGTCCAACGCCCTCTCAGACAATAATGCTACTCAAGGGGGAGCCATTTATTTAAAACCTTTATTAATGCTGGGAGAAAAATAATGCAATGTGACAATGTACAGATCCTGTTGCCTAAATCCATAACAGAAACAGGTATTATGACTTAGCAAGCTCACTTGGTGCCAATTCTGAGATCAGATGAGGCTGTTCTTCCTTAGGAAATGGCCCTGGAAGCATTGTTTTTCCATGTTGTTCTAGCGAAGCCGTTTACTTGGTTCAAGTTTAGATTTCTCTCTTTGTGTGTGTGTGTCAAAATATGACTAAAGTTCTGGGCTGGTGTTTTCTATTTATTTAGTTTTGGGTGTCAGCATTTCACTCCACTCAGTCCTCTCATTTCAGAATAACAGGGCTATTTATTGATACAGAGGAGAGGTGTTCAGATCATCTTGTTAACATGCAAAGCTCAAAATAAACATCGTATCTTTATTTGGAAATCCACATCCTTCCTCAAAGGAAGGCTCATGAGTAAATCTGTATGAAGCATGAAGCCCGAGGCAAGGGTCTATTTTTAATGACCACTTTGCTTACAGTTTAGATGGGACAAATGAATGCTTACAGGAATTTGGACTTTTCCTCAGTTTTGAGCAAAAGAATCTTAGCAATAAATACTATCGTATGCTTCAAAACATTAGGAACCAGAATGAAATGATATCTACCTGACTTGTGAGATAAAACAAACCAGTGGCATGAAAAATATACAACGGAGATCCGTGAAGGGGTTCAAATGAACATCGTAAGCAGGTTTATGCGTTGAGGGGCGGGGAACACTGAGATAATAAATACAATGACAAATATTTACAATAGAAGCAACAAATGGGACATCAGTAGGCGAACACATAAAACATTTACACTGAGGAAAATATAAAAGTGATGCCTTTCACACATCCAGCCCAGGAGCTGGTGAACAAATGAACAGCTGACCCAGCAACGCTGGAGAATGTTATTGCTTCAGCTTTTGAGTGATGTGAGTGAAACAGTCAACGCGCTGCAGTGGCCCATGCTGGAGACAACCGCGGTTCACGCTGGGTTCCCGTGGCAGAGCCTGCCACACCAGTCCTCCTCCCGCCGCAGGCAGAGCGCGATTAAGGGCACCATCTCCTCTGCTTCCCACAGCTCCAGGTCTTTCTAGGTGCTTCTCTCAACACTTCATTCCCCTTCCCCCAAGACACAAATGATTTCTTTCCAACACGGATCATGAAAGATCAGGGAACTGACCCTCCAGCACCACGTCCTGGCGGCAATGAGGTTGGACTTTGGGTGTTTAAATACGAGCTGTTTTGGGTAAGGGCATTCCGTGGAACAGATCATTTTGGAGTAGATAAATTTAGCTTCTTTCTCTCTGGCTTCAGATTGCTTTGAGGGAGAGCTATGAGCTGATACAAACGCAGGATGCATATTTTTTGCCCACTTACTAGAACAGGGGTCAGCAAACTCAGACCAAGAGCCAAAGCCAGTGGGGCACTTGTTAAAATACAATTTCACTGGAGCGGAGCCAGGCCTATTTGTTACGTGTGGTCTGCGTATGTCTGCTTCAAGCTACAACGGCAGAGCTGAGTAGTTGCGGCAGAAACCATATGCCCGGCCAAGTTGAAAATAGTGAATTTGCTATCTGGACCTTTACAGAAAAAATTCGCTGACCCCTGCTCTAGAAGGACCTGGCTGAGGACACTCGTCCACTCCTTGCAATACTGGGGTCCTATTTGAGTATTGGCTGCAAGGAAGGATAGGCTTTAATTTGACAGCCTATTAGGAAAGAAAAGAAAAGGCATCTCTCTGAAATGTTTTAGGTAACCGCAAGAAATCCACTGCTGACACTTTCTATTATAATCCTCTCCCTTCTCGCCTGTATTCTCAGTTCTGTCTCTCTTCTCTGCCTTTTCTTGTCCACGCTGACTCTTTTCCTTGTTGCTAAATTTCCAATCGGATCTGGAATATCCTGTCCCTCTGCGATTTTCGGCAGTCTTCTCCATTTATGTAAAAGGTCGGCATTCCCTCATGGAAATTACTGAGTAGTCTCCATTCTCCTCTCCCCTCTTCCATCCTCCAGCACGGAAAAGGCAGCCTTCCAACTTGGCCTCACGGAGTCCAGGGTATGGTGCATTAACGATCTTGGCTGAGGGTCGAGGTGAGATAAGGAGATGCTGAGGGACGTCTGTCAAACGAACTCCTGGTGTGTGCATTTTACTCCAGGTGTGGGGTTTGCCCTAAGCGGCTCCGAGCCCACACCAGGCAGTCAGATGGATAGCTGCTTTGCTCTTTGTTTCCTTTTAAAATAGCACTTAAAAAAATCAGCCCTAAAAGATGGGCTGTTTTTTTTTTTCCGTTGAGCTGGTTTTAACGACCCAGTTGCTTTGTTTGAAAGCCATTTATTTAGACGACAGATACGTAGATGTAACTGGATAAATAAAAAAGTGAAATCGAGACTTCAAGCAGTGGTTAAGATACAAACACACGGGGCCACTCCCTCGGACAGGGTCCCCCAGACAGAACAACGGCTCAGAAATTACACTTAGAACCCTCGCCCTCCCCTGCCAAGCAGCTCCAAACCTCAAGGTCCCATACAAGAAACTGAATTTCGATTTGGCACCAAGAACCCACACGGTCCTTGCCTCCTTTCCAGCCTTCTCCTGATTCGCATGGAGATTTTCACATCCACTCCTGCACCGGAATCCAGCTGCTGTCCGCCAAGACAGCACCAGAAGCTACGGGGCGGGGACCCGCACCAAGTGTCCCCTCCCCGCTCCATCTCCCCAGCAGGCCGCCGCCCAGTGGCTCCACGACAGAAAGAAGACAAAGTTGCAAGGACACGTGGCACCCTCACCTCAGGGTGTGCGAGGGCGGAACCCACTGGGCACGGCCCAGACCTTGCTGCTGCCCAGGCAGTCTCCGCCTCACCTGTTCATCCCACTAATACACAGCTTCCTCAGGTCCGCAGTCCCCACCAAATCCTGCGTGCGACATCACCCCTCTTTAATGGCAAATGTTTTGGAATGTCCATAGAGAAGAAAATGGACGGCGTGGAGGAAAGATTTCCTGGCCAGCCTTTTCGTTTCACCTTCGGATATCGGAATACTCAGACTGTTCATCCTCCCACTCGCTGCTTCCAGAAGTTCCTTGGGCCCCATGGCCGGCGGCTCTCCCCTGGGCATGGGCATGCGGGTGGCTCTTGCTACCTCGCTCGCCCTTGGCACCTCGGCCGGTCTCCCGACTACTGGGCTCTGAGAGGCGGTGACCCGCTTCCTCGTGGTGGGCCCTGGACAGCTTGGCTCTGTCCACCTGGAGCCGGTGCTCCGGAGGCGCGGTGGGCGGCCTCTGGATGGCTGAGGTGCAGAAGCTCAGGATGGAGCACAGGCTGCCCCAGTTCTGCTCACACTGTGCCTGCACACTGTGGGTGATGGCCTCCTTCACCTCCTCCCCACAGGTCAGCAGCAGGTTCACCAGGTCCACGTAGGGTCTAGAGATGGAGAGCAGAGAGACCAGGAATGGAACCAGAACCGCGTGGGCCATGGAGGGCAGTGACAACACCAGGGAAGAGAGAGATGGCCAGTGCTTGGCTTGGGTTTGGTTTGGAGAAAGAGCTTTCCAGAGTTACTTCAGCCTTTACTCATATTCTTTGGAGTACTGGCCTCAACTACCATGTACTGGGTGGTCATGTACCAGGCTCCATGCCATGCGCTGGAGAGTCAGAGGTTGGAGACAGAGCCCACAAGAAAAAGGGCCAGTGACAATTCACAGGTGCATATGCTAAAAGAAAGAGCCTCAGGGAAGGTGGGGTGAGGACACCACGCAGGGCAGCCATGGCAACAATGCCAGGAGAGCAGGAGAGCTCTGGGCGTGTCGGGCAGGCTAACCTGGAGGGTTTTAGTAGGAGTGGAGATGGGTCTCAGGGGCCAGTGGAATAATATTTAGGCAAATGGTGAAGAGCCTTAAATACCAAATTGAGGAGCCTTTTTGGCAGGGAAGGAGGAGCCATGCAGATTTAGGGCTTGGGGAGCCCCACATCGCCCCCTTGCCTGTGGCGTCAGCAGGCTGGCTGGCTTTGCACTGGGTGCCACTATCCTGGGCGAGCTTTCTCTAAGTGAGGCACCCAAGAAACCCTTCTCCCCATGTCTGTGTTTGCCCCTGGTTCAGACTCATGATGAAGAGGGGTGCTTTTGGAAGTTAATGGATGCACTTCCCTCCGTACCTGGAGGAGTCTGGAAGGGGTGGAGAGGGTGGGAGGAAGACCGCCTCCTTGGGATGTCCTTTCCCATGGAGCTCTTCCCTTTCTTGGTAGTTGAGGCTGGGGAGCGGGAGCAGCCATCTCAGCATCTCTATTCTTCCAGGCTGGGCCTCCCCAGAACCGGAGGGGAGGGCTGCCCGCCAGGGGCCCAGTGTTTAGAATGAGAGGCAGCTGTCTGTGAAATAAACACGCTAGGTTCCGGAGGGGAGAGCCAGCTGCTCAGGCCATTCCAGCTGCCCTGGGTTGTCCTTTAGGAAAAGTGCTGGAGGAGGAATGATCACGTCATGCAAACCTGCCTCCTGGGGGTGGGAGGTGTGTGCAGAAGGCAGCAGCAGTGTGCCTGCTTTTGATATTTATGAGCCCATCTGGTAAGAGTGTCCCCGGCAATGGGCTCTCATCGCTTGCTCATGGAGCCTTTCTTACATCTCACTGGCCTTTTAAAAGCCTCAAGGAGGGTGTGGAACGTTTCCTGCAGCTAACCAGTGTTCTTAGGCAGTCCCTGGCCAGCAAAGTTCCTGGATATATCTGACCATGAGCACGGCAGCTCTGGGCCACCACTGCGGGCAGGGAACTCACTCTGCACCGTGAGACCATTTATAAGAAGGAGCAAGACTTGTGTCCTCTGTGAGCCTGGACCACCTGGCTGGCTGCATTGTGGCCCATGTAATCTTCCCTTTGCAAGCTGGCAGTTGTTGCCACGCAGGAAGGGCAGATTGTGTTGTAAGACTTGTGAAGTAGTTTACTGCCACTTTCGGGAATTAGCCCTCAAGCTGTAATGGAGTGAACTGTCCTTATTTCACAGATGTAAAAGTGTGAGGAGAAAGTGGCTTTTGGCAGCTTCTGGGCTGGGAAGGCCTGGGGCTGGGCTGACAGTGCAGAGGAGGAATGTTCTGGCTGATAGAGATCAAGCTGCCTTTTAAGGCCTACTTGATGCCTTTGGAGTCAGAGAGTCTGTGCACGGCTGATGGGCAGGGTGCTTAAATTCTCTAAGGCAGGCCCCTAACAGTGACAAGGACAGTGATCAACTCATCATCTTGGAGCCACACAAGGCAAATGCTCAATGCATGTGTGTTTCCTTCCATCTTTTGAAAACTAGCTGCTGACTGCCGGTAGCTCCAGTTCATGGAGTGTATCTGCCGCGGCAGTACCAGGATTTCAGCACCAGACTGTACCTGCCACTCCTCTGGGGCTAGAGGAGCAAACGGCAGGGGCTGAGAACGAGAATCTCTGTCTTTCTGGGACACTAAGCCACTGCTCCGCTTCAAGTTTCTTTCCGCAGAGTAAGGGGAGGGGAATGGACTACTGGGAATGGACGGACTGCCCCCTGGCCGCCTTCCCCCGGGCGTCCTGCCTGCCAGATGACTCTCGGAACCCCAAGGCGGATCTGAGAAGGCTGGACTAGCCCACGCTCTCCTCTGCCCTTGGCGCTCTCTCCTGATGAGAAAGCTGTGAACCGTGGGGAGGGTGTGTTAATCTAAGCTGTGTTTCGAGCTGGCGTGGTGCCTTCTCAGGCTGCAGGCTCAGCCCGTGTCTAATGACAAAGCCCAGCTCCCTCAACTGGGTGTCAGCAAGGCTAAAGGATTTTAAAAAATACTTGGAGGGGGACGTGCCTAGAGGCTGCCAGCACCCAGTGACAGGGTGTGTGGTGGCCAAGGCAGTTGATATGGAGAAAGTGGGGCGGGAAGGGGTGAGGGGAGCAGAGGGGAATGGAGAGCTTGAAGGGAGCCACTTTAACTGCATATGAGAGTTTTGGGATGGATGTGGATTCTGGGGTGACTGCGGTTTCCTCCTCTCTAAAGTGAAGAGCAAATTCAGTTCCCATTTTCTTGTCTGTGACTAATGCCACACATTCTTAAATGGTCTTGATATCTGGGGACTGATGGGATCTTTTGTGCAAAAATCAGTTAAGATTGTTTAAAAAACAAAAAACTCAGGCAATTCAGCTTGAAGTACAAGTTGATGCACTGCATAGTTGTGGCTTCAGAAGGGAAGGTAGCGGGGGTTTGTGGGGAGCCGGAGCGAGGCGAGACCGGCTGCCGAGAGGGGCTGGCTTAGCAGCGGCAAGAGGACTTGCGAGCAGCCACAGTGAGTGTTCTTAAAAGAGGCCCAGGCGGCCCTGTGGGGTGGGCCACCTGCACCAGAGCAGGCTGTGGTGGGGGGCTATGTGTTCATTCTAAATGATGCGAGGAGCCCTTTGAAAGTAAGGGTCTCATGGCCCCACAGGCCATGTTTCCATGGAGGAGACAACAGAAAGCTACAGCACTTTACCCCTTTTAAATTCCAGCGGGGATGAAAAACTTCAAAACCTTCAGTTTTCCCAAAGAAGATTTTTCTTCAAAAAGAGAAAGTCTTCTCAGCTCCAGGAATGTATCATAGACTTATAAACTAGCGCCCCATGATCTCTTCTTGAGGCTAACAAACTATCTCTAATGGATAGCGGGTTGAGGACAAATGAACTTCATGAGTTTCTCATCCATGGGGCATTTGCCTCTTCTAGGGGCACCTTGAAGGAAGGGAATTTCACAGCGCTCTCCTTATGCAATGGGGATATATTTGAGAAAAGGGAAAACCCTGCCACATTTGGGGACCAATGAGCCTTTAGCAGGTCTAGTAGGGAGCAAGCAGGCCAGGAGCAAGGAGACTTGAGGTCTATTCTTGATAACTGGCTTCAGTCATATATATCAATTCCCAAGCTGAAAAGCAGGAATCAAATCTCAGAGTAACATCATTAACCTCTTAGCTTCACTTTCCTGCTCTGTTAAATGGGGACAGTAATCTCCATCTCCTAGTGTTGTTGGGAAAGATAAATAAGATAATCCAGGTAAAGTCTCTGGCCCAGGGCGTGGCCCACTAAAAAAATGATAGCTATTATTATTTTTGTTGTTGTTGATACTGTTGTTTCTTTACAGGTATTTGGAAGAGTAAAAAATATTTTATCAGGCATTAGTGTAACTCAAGGAAAAGGCGACGTTACTTTGCTCTTGGCAAGAGCCACTTGCAGAGATGCACGGTGAGTCTTATCATTCTAACACTGCACCAGGGGTGTTGCCAGATACCTAGAACCTCATAACCAAGGGAAAGTGACAGGTGATGGTTGTTGTCCTCCATCATCTAAGGTAGGGTGGGGAATAGCCTGCTTAATGACACAGCCAGGGGAAGTCCATGGCATGAACTAGGAGCAAGAGTTCATAAAATTGTATTGATTTGGCCCATCAAGTCACTGCAGAAAGACCAATGGTGCCATCAAGGTGGCAATGACTTGTACTGGTCTGCTTAGCTGGTGTCTTGCTTTCTGCCCTGTGTCTCTGAGGAAGAGGCCATCATAACCTTCCTGGGCTATCGACCAGGCTTCATGTTAGAGCAATTATGTATCCACGTGCTTTATCACTCTGCCAAATTTAGGATCCTATAGATGGGATTTTTTTTTGCTGGGAAAGATTCGCCCTGAGCTAACATCTCTTGCTAACCTTTCCTCTTTTTATGTGAGCTGCTGCCACAGCATGGCTACTGACAGATGAGTGGTGTGGTTCCACACCCAGGAACTGAACCCAGGCTGCTGAAGCAGAGTGTGTGGAACTTTTTAACCACTAGGCCATCAGAGCTTGCCCTAGATGGGAGTTTTTTAAGGAATGAGATGTCCTAGGTTTATTATTGAATTGCAAGTCTTCACATAGGTAAGTTCACACTTCCTCACTTTGGCATAAAGGTATTTAGCTGATTAAAGTTTTTGACATTTGCTTTGCATTTTCTCTGAAAGGGCATTAACATGTTAGAGGAGGTGAACTGGACCTTCTAAGGGAGAGGAGAGCTTATGGAGGCAGGAAAAATAGCCATTGCCCTCAGCATTTAAGAGCGTAGGTTCTGGAGCTGCACTGCCTGGCTCCCAGTCCTGGCTTTGCCTCTCATTGGCTGTGTGATCTTCATCTCAGCGAATCTCAGTTTTCTCTTCTGTAAAATGGGGATGAGAATGGTACCTAGCTCACAGGGCTGTTGTGAGGATCAAGTGGAAAATTCACATAGAGCACTTGGCACAATGCCTGGCACTTAGTAAATGCCTGACAAATGTTATTATCTCATGGCTGTCTGTTGGGGCACCTCCACGGCTACTTGGAAGACTCAGAGAACTGTTGGATCTTGGCTGAGGGCAACACAAAGGGTATTCTGAATCCTACACGTTTCATACTTAATAAAAAAGTTTCCCGTTTCTATTGCTTATGATTTTGAAACTGATGGTGGAAACTTCTTTCACTTTTCCTGAAGGCCAGCAGGAAAGGGACTCTCTGGGGAGTCAGCGCAGCTCTCTGAGGTAAACATAACCTTTCCCATTTGACAGGAGAGCTCAGCCTCTAAAAACAAGCCCCTCTCGCTGAAGAAGACTCTCCAGCCCTCTAGCCACGCTGAGGCCTCCCTCCCGGCCCGTGGGGCAGCACTCACTCATGCAGCAGTAGGTCCTTGAAGTGAATCATCTCCACCATCACCCGGGTGTTCTCCTGGGCAGCGGAGCACAGGTCGTGTTTGAGGTAGCATTCCCGCTGTAGCTGAAACACCATTTCCTTAATGGCTGGGCACTTCCGGCTTATGCAACCGAATCGGTGCCGCAGAGCGTGGGCCTTACACTTCAAGGCGTCTTTGATGAATGACTTGCCCTGAGAACAGAGAGGACAGAGACGAGCGAGAAAGGGGCAGAAGAAATGAGTCCTGTTACACGCTTAGCCATTTACCCTTCCTGGGCGTACCCAGGATTTTTCTGACAACTGAACCCCATGGCCCTGCCCCAGACTGACGTCCCTGCAGGTGACAGGGTGATGCTCAATCAGGAGGGATGTCTAGAGTGACACGATGCCTCTGGCATTTGCCCAAAAAGGATGTTCCTTCGGGAGACTAACAAATCTGCCTACTTCCTCCCCAGCTGTTCCTCTAGTTTCCCTCGTCCCGGGGCTTCCGTGGCCGTCTGTCCTCAAGGCAGCCCAGTGTTGGCTGTTCGGTGGCAACTGTTCTGGAACACAAGGGGACTTTGGCCAGACATCAATCCAGAACTCCTTGGTGCTTCCCAGCAGGAGTTTTTCCCAAGCAGAAGGTGCCTCCTTGTCCAAATCTCACACCTTTCCTTTTCCTTCTCTTCCACAAGTGATGTCAAGATGGGGAGCTGACTGTGCCTCTCCTTTCTGCCTCAGTGTCTCCCACTGCCCCCGACCCAGACTCTTGTCTCCTCCTATCCTTTAAGGAGGAACATTCTTTTCCTTTTTGAAAACGATTCGACTCCTTTAAACTGTTAGGATTACTGCCTCTAAAAGGCCCGCCTGGCACACTGCCTGGCAGCATCTGGAGTCTGAACTGCCCAATTGACAGCCCCTCCCCCAGGCTCCCTGCCTCTGAGCGCCGCGGCAGCCAGGCATACATCTGGCCTACAGTTCTCTTTCCTGGCAACTCCATTAGATTGTTCTTATCCTAGAAAGGAGACAGCTGTTGGGGGTGTGGAGGCGAGCTCAGGCCTTTAGTTCCCTTATCAACCTCCCAGGGCAGAGAGGCATTGTGGGATACCTACCCAGGGATCCCCGCACCCTCCATCGCTATAGAAACAAGCTGTCGCTGGAGAGGTCACCCCTCTGTTTTTAGACAGGCCTGGAAGTAACGGAGTTGAGAAAGTAAAGGGGTTTAGGTTGGAAGTGGGAAGCCAGCCAGCACATTTATTTTGGTTCTCTCCTTTAGAAGCAATTGAAATGTCTATAGGTCGTGTCTGATCACTGAAAAACCAACTCCCTGTGGCCCCCTTTCCTCTGACTCTCCAGTGGGAGCCAAATAGGATAGAGGGTTGGGTGTGCCAGTTTATTAAGTAGTTATGTGCTGAGAACCGACTTGAAAGGGATGCTTCTAACTTGAGAACACACTCCTGTTGGTGGAGAAGAAAAGGAAGATTAATGTATGCGTGGGCTGCAGCAATCTGCTCTTGGTATTCTTCCCTGACATCCTGTGGGATTGCCCTTCAATACACATCTTTCCTCCGGATTTCCTATTACGTTTCCTAATTCCAGTGAATCCAGAAGGGATGCTTTATTAGGGAGCCTCAAGGAGTTCAAACAGTCTACCTCTTTCCTTCCCTGGTTTCTGTTTCCCCTCCTGCCACCCCACATCCTCTGTACTGTAGGCTGCCAGCCCGGTCGCATCCCTTTCTGGTTCCCAGGCCTTGCTTTGTCAGGCTCTCTACAGGATGTCAGTTGATGGTGACTGGTGATGTTCATAAATCACACCTAAACTGTTGGTCTCATCCAGACATTGTCATCACTCTCCGATGAAATGGGAGAGGAAGGTTATACCTTCTTATAACAGGGTGCTTCATCGTGCATATATGGGCTGGGGAGGACATGAAAAAAGTGAGCCCAATGCCACATGCCATCTGAAATGTATGTGGATTATCAGCACTGGAGCCACAAGGTTGCTTGTTGGTTTTTTCCTGCCCCACACAGCAACTGGGCTTTATCCTTGGGACTCTGGGACAACCGACGTGGGTCAGGCCCTGACTATGTTTATTGTACAGAGCAAAAGAAGAGTGTAGAATGGCAGCACTTACTCAGGATTTTGACTTTTCAAGTTGGGAGAGGAGAGTCTGCTACTTAGGAGGAAGAAAAGTCTGCTCTTCTGGAGGCCCTGAATTATCCACGTTGCCTGCCCATACACCCACTATGAGATGATGAATTTCTACGAATTTTGTGTCATTTATTCTTGCCTATTAGGTGAAAATAGCTTTTGGAATGTATAGTTGGAGTCCCTGCCCTTCCCCCCTCAACCTACTGTTCCTAATGCCATGGGCCTTGCAGACTGGGTTCTGGGTGTTCAGACATAGTGTGTCCCCTCAGAAGACGTCTATCATTTATTACGACTTTTGTCTTCCCTGCTAAGAATCCTCAGATAATGGTTCAACTTGGTCTCCATTCCACTCTGCCTGTGTAGACACAGCTTAAGAGCGGAGAAGGATTTAGCCTCCGTGACACTTCCAGAGAGTGGAGCGGGGAGACTTTGGCATCTTGCAGTACATCTAGAATGTCTTTTGCAAGTGCGAAAACACACCACAAAGATCAGCTAAGGAAATCTGTTAACAAGTCTTTCCAACAAACATTTCAGTCATGCTACACTAACCCCAAGCATTCTTCGTGCTCTATACGGTTTTTACCTGAGCATCAAATTTTCCAGCGTTGTGCAGAAAAGTCATGCAAATCCCATGTAAGCCCCGAATCTCGCAAGAGTTGTTCTCGAAACATTCAAACACGCCACACCCCACATCGCCAGCGTTGACCAAACAGTGCTGGATTTCCGCTAAAATGAGAATTACATACAAATATATACAAAATTCTCAGCCACGCTGGGGAGTGCAGAGGCCGGTTGAAATAAAAGTAACAACTAAAAGAAAATTTAAGAAAAAAAAAGTTAGAAATGACTATTTCAGGATCTAAAAAGCCAGGGAAAGGAAATTTCATCATTTAATCTACTTACGAAAGTACTTATATCAGTATTCGTAAATATTTGTAGAAAATTAGCCAAACCTACATTATAAAAAATCACAACCAGAAGTTAGGTCTGAGCACTCCGTTTTTCATCTTTCCCATCTTAGTAAAGTATTTGTGGGAATACTTAGTTTGAGGGCAGAAGATATTTCAGCTTTCTAAGCCCAGACAAAAATCAGATTTTAAACGATTAGCTTGCTCTCTCCCTTCTGTGCTTCATCAATGAAATATCCTTCTCTACTTGGAACTTAAAGCTGCTGCTATTAACTTACAGCCATTTCCTTCCTGACCCCCAAATGAGAGCGTCCAAAAAGCACTTTCAATTTAGCTTTATGATTCAACATCCAAAAATCAAAACAAAATTCCTGTTAAGGCAGAGTCTCCGAACCATCCGCATAAAAAACACCAGACTGTAGAAGCTTCGGTTGGAGAGCAGGCGCAGGAATCGAGTCAGACAGGGGCTAGCCTGCAGAAACGCAACCACCGTGGTGAGAGGCTCCTTTTAAATAGAGATCCGGCGTGAGATGTCACTTAATCCCCTAGAATTCCCGAGACCCGGCAGTTTGCTGCCTTCCTTCGCAGAATGTGGCCCTAATTCGTCTCTCTGAAAGGACAGACTGAGGGAGTTAACTGTCACAAGGCTGCCGTATGCAAAGCTTCTCTTCCTTCCCTCCCCCCTACCCAATTCCCTGATTTAAACCAACCACAGAATTACATCAGAAAAGTATATTGTGGAAGATGGGAGGGGTCGGAGTAGATAATCCGCATTCAGATTAAATCTACCGAGAGAATGAGGAACGTGTATTTGTTGAGAGTCACCAACTACGGAGAATCACGCTCAATCCTTAGCGAAACCTTTGCAGCGGGGGAAGGGTGGGCAAGGGTCCTAGGACGAGCAGGGTACTGGTACCGGCTAGTGGAGGTGGAAGGCTTCCGGATGATCCCACGCGCGGTCCCGGCGCGCCGGGCAGGAGCGCGCAGGGCCGCGATTCACTCGCTGGGGGCGTCCCTAATGGGCACTCGTGCATTCCCGCTCGTGCGGTGAGCGCACGCACGCCGCCGCCGCCAGTCCGCAGGCCCCCAAATAAAGGGAGGGCCGCGAACAGCGAAGGAGCTGGAGGCAGATTTTCTTACTCTCTCGGGAGCTGGGAAAAGGGCCAGCCGCGTGCCCTGCACGCCTGGCTCTGCTCGGCAGCTTGCCGATGAGGAGAGCAGCCGCGGCGTACGGTTCGGGCCATGTCACCATTTCTTCGCTTGCTGACCTGCCCTGGAGCTGGGGACGGCGGCAGCACTGCAAAGGTACGCTTTGCGCCATCCCCTCCTTCCGAAAGGAATGCCTCCAAGGGGAAAGTTCTCAATGCAATGTTTCGCCTACAGAGTTCTCGGATGTCGGGCATCTTTTGAGAAGGGGGAGAAGCGGTCCTGCTGCGGCCCGCCGGATGGGAAGAGAAGTTCGCCGGGTGCAGGGCGCAGCCCGGCTCCGGGGACCCTCCGTACTCCCGCGGGCCGGTTAGGATGGAGCAGGGACCTTTGCAAAGAACCCGGGACTCCGGGGCCGGAACTGGTCGCGTCAGGCACGGCCTCATTTACCCTCGACCCCGGGGAGGACAGCAACAAGTCCTGCCCCAGCCGTTTCATCACCCTACCAGCACGTGCGGATTCCGGGCGCGCGGAGCCCGGCGCGGACCTCGCCTCGACTCGCGCTTTCCTTTGCACGTCCCACGCCACCCCAAGAGTTTGCGCGGCCCTGGGTGGGCGCCTAGTTCCGGGCGAAGCTCCTGGGGCGCGCTACGTGGGTGCACGGTGTTGTCTCCTAACAGCTCCTAGCCGCGGGGGCGCACGCACTTACCTGTGTTCTGCAGGGACAGACGGCCTTTCTGCTGGGAGCCCCTGTCTTGGGGACCCTCGGGCGGATTGGTGGCGTCAGTCCCTCGCGCCGGGTCGAAGGTGGCCAACACCAAAGCCAGGGTCATGAACTGGCCCAGCCGCTCGGCACACATGGTTCTTAGTGTAAACCTCCTGCCCGGAGATCTGGATTCTTTGTGCTCCCCTCCTCCTCTTCCTCCTCCTTCGCCGCTTCCCCTTCTCCTCCCACTCTTCCTCCTTGCTCGCCTGTTCCCTCCTCGCGGCCGCGGCTCGGATAGAGGTTACCCAGCGCCCTCCCGTAGCTCTCCCGAGAGCATGTGACCAGGCCGTTAGCAGCGCCGCGAGTGCCCGGCAGTGGCAGGGATGGTGCCTCAAATATCCCTGGAAGCTCTGGTGTCACTTGAATGAAGGAGTCGAGCAGGTGTTGTCCCGGCGGCTGGACCAATCCGAGACCCCCGCCCATTTGACAAGACGGCCGGGAGGCGGGGCCTGCGCCCAACTACTACACGAGGAAGCCGAGCGCCGCTGGGAGCGCCGAACAAAGTTGGCGACCTGGCGACGGCCACGCGTTTGCGTGCGTGTGAGTGTGTGGGAGCGCGGCCGGAGATGCGTGCGCGTGTGCGGGTGCTCCACGGCAATGGCCGAACGGACTTTAAAAAGTAAAAGCGAATCTCAGCTCCGGTTGCAGCTAGAGACGGGCGAGAGGGGACGCTCTGCGTTGGGACAGCGTCCCCATCCCCCTCCCCGGGGCCCCTGGCTCGAACCACACCCGCGTCGTGCTGGGAAAGTTTCCTCTTTCCGATGTTTGGAATTCAGTGAGATTCCCAGCTCCGAGACCTTGACAGATTGCAGGACTTTCCTGGGCACAGTGATGCTGGGGGCAAACCGAGCACACATGGGAATTCCTGGCGTTGTGACGCTTTGCATTAAAAAAACCCCTCAAACTATGTAAGATAGGAGCAGAAGCACTAGGTATAGGACTTGACCTGAAAACTGCCCCATCTTCCCCCTTCCTTTTTGCCCCGCTTTCGTGGGCCGTGCAACACCTAGGGTGCCAGTTTCTCGCCCCTCCCCCAATCCAGACGGATTCCCAACTGGGCTGCAGGGATCCAGGTGACAGACTGGACTTGCATCATTTCCAGGCGGGTGGCAAGGAGGCCCAGGCAGCCCTGAGTCAGCCAGCCGCGGAGCATCGCGTGCCCCGGAGGCCGGAGCTTGAAAGGCAACTTTCCGCGTCTCCAAACACACTCTTCAATTTTCCCAAAGCGCTACTCGCCGCCCGGCTCCGAGTTCCCTTCACTCTCCAGTCCTCGGATGGAAATGGTTAAAAAAAACAAAAAACCAAAAAAGCCCCAATCAAACCAAACCCACAAAACCTGGGGAAATTCTCTTCATCTCTTCTCCTTTCTTGTTCGAGATCCCTCCCCGAGCACGGCCGGGGCTGGATTGGCCCCGGCTGCTTTCTCCTCGGGCCAGTGGAAGCAGGGAGAAAGTTGGGCGCCGCTCGGAGCGCCTCTTCCCCCGCTGTGTGTGTACGTGTGCACGCTCACGTCTCCCCGGCGCCGGGGCCGGGGCCAGGAACTGCTCCGGGCATCGTCAGTCCGACGGCGCAGCTCTGGGGGCTCGCAGGGCTGGAGGAGGGCGGGGACGCGAGCGCTGAGGCCGGGCGCCCTGCGGCGCTCACCCGGGGTTGACGCGTCCTCGCCCCTCCCCCGCCGTCTCCACCCTCCTCCTGGAGAACAGGTGAGCCAGGGTACCAGCTCCCACCTCCCATCCCCCACCCCGCCCCGCTCCCAGCCCGCGCCCTCTGCGGTAATGCGCCGGGGAGGTTTCATCACCCCCTGCCCGCGGCGACGCGGCCCTGGGTCTCCGCGGTGGGGCGCACTGCGCGCCTCGTTGGGGCCGCCATGTGACACAGTTGGGGGATGGGGTGCGGAGACGCTTGGGCCAGGTCATCCTCCGGCCGCCGTTCGGCTTCCAAAGCTTCTCTCCCAGGGTCTCTGCTGCACTCGGGCATAGGGAAAGCGGAGGCGGGGGTGGGGGCAGGGTGGCCGCCGCTGGCCGCAGTCGTCCGGCGCGTGGAGCGGCCCTGAGTAGGGAGGAAGGGGAGGAGGAGGTGGGGAAGGCGCCTTTGGAGTGGCCTCTCCTCCAGGTTGCAGCACCAGAGAGCTGCTGTCCACTATCCCCGCCCGACTTTCAGAGCCCCAATAAATGGTCACTTTGAAGGTCCGAGTCTGCAGCGGTGGCAAGAAACTGACCCCTCATGCCCATGATTCCAACAGCAATTACTTCTTGCAGCCTCAGATCTTTTGTGGAAGGAGGTGGGGTAGGAGTACATTAAAATGGGTGGTTCGCATTTCCCACCCTGCTTTTGTTTGCACAGTTCGCTTCCTTTATTAGTTTATGAAAAACCATCTCCTGTAGATCCTGAAAGACAAAACATAACAAACAAACAGCAGCGTTCTGGCCTCTCAGGAATTCCATAAGCCCCTGAATTTCCTGGGTAGGCTTTCTTTCCATGGAGCCTCTTGTAGGTGAGAACGTGAGCAACATTGGCATTAAAAAAGGTATCTGGTAACTTGGTTCTTTGAGCACAGAATTAAGAGAGGTCCAGAGGGTGGGAGCAAGCCCACCTTTGCTGGATGCAAACCCTCTGAATCTACTTGATAGAAGCCTCTGAGGGCACCTAGAGAGCGGCCAGGCAGAAGGAGGTCTCTGAGCTCCTGCCTCACTGTGGCCTTTGGCTAGGCGCTGGTGCCATGAGGCCCTGAGGCTGCCCTCAGAGGACCTGCATAATTTTAAAATTCATTTTGAGGCTATTTGCTCCAGCCTCACAGGGGACATTCGTGTCCCCCACCTGAATCAACTGCCTCTTTAGAACTAAAAAAAGATTTGAAGGTGTTGCAAGTACAGTACTAGTTCTAAAAGGTTCAACCTCCAGGCTGCTTGGCCAGGGCCAAACATCCAGAGAAGAATGCCCATCCCGGCAGTGCCGTCAGGGCTGAGAAGATTCTGCAGAATCATTAGGCAGTTTGCTGGGATTACCAGTCTAGGCCCCAAGCCTGGGGTGGGAGTGGGGAGAGGAGCTCAGAGTGGTGACTTTGTCGTGCTCTCCCCCCTCATTCTTGGAGCTTTATAACTCAGGCCTGGTTTGGCTGACTGTGGCTGATGAGAGTGGGGGTGGGGAAGGGGTAGTCGTCATCATAGTAATGATGATGATGATTATAAAGCTAACATGAATTGAGAACAGACACTGCGCCACACACCAAGCTTGCAGCTTTGGTGGCTCTCTAGACCTGAGTCCACCCTAGATGGGAATTGAGACTTGGGAGGAGTGAGGACAGACCAGCTGGGATTGCCCTGAGGTTCTGCAGGGAGTCTGGCTAGATGGATGGTCCTTCTCAGTTTAAGACCCAACCAGCTGTGGAAAGGATGAGGCAGGCTTGCCTCGTGATATCTAGTGGCTTCTGTCGTTGATGCATGGGACCCACGTTCTTCTGTCTAACTCCAGTTCACCAGTTAAATTCAAACATTTAGTGAGTAGGTTTGGTGGAGGAGGGAATTTGTGTTAGACTTTGAAAGGGGAGAGGATACTGACAAGTAGGTGTAAGGAAAAGAGAGAGGATGTGACAGGAGGGAGGGAGGACCCACAGGGGTAAATGCATGGAGGGGATACAGTGGGATTTGTATCTGGAGTAGGGGTTGCTCAGTTTGGTGTTAAAGGGGAGGATAATGCTGGCGAGAGTGTCTGGGGCCTTGTTGTTGGGGCCTTTGTGACAAATCTGTGCTCACCACAGAAGATCTTGTTCTCTCATTATGACTGTCTTTAGGGATGAGACTCTAGGATGCTCTTAGACTAGATTCCCTTTTGGCATTAGGAAATGGTCAGGGCCCCATTGCTGACATTGTGAAGGAAAATACTGATAAGAGGAATGGGAGTAATTAGCTGGAATCTTGATGTGGGTTGCCATGCCCAGCGGGACAGAAGGTGTTCTTGCTCAGGTGTGAGCACGTGGGGCCTTGGAGGATGGGAACAGTTGTTGGGTGATGAGGCAGTGTCGTGTAGGTTGATACATGCTGTCTAGTCCAGGCTTTCTGTGAGTTCCAGAGCCTGAGTGGAAAACGTGGCTTCCACGTGGAGGGCCCCTCCTACTGCACACCCCGCCTCCTTGTGGCTGCCTGTCTGGGCTGATGGCACCACCTGATGGTCAGAGAGGGAACTGTCTGACCAAACAGTGGACTCTCTCCTCATCTCTACCTGACTGGAGGGCCTGGGGCGCTACTATGGGGTCTGCAGCCTTCTCCTCAATTGTCTTAGCAAATCAGTTAATGCTGAGTTAGGCAGTCTTCTCCTCACAAAGACCTGCTTTAGTCTCCCCCTCCCCCATCAAGGAAATCTCTTTCAAACTTTTTGCTTTTCCTCCCGTCCTTTGCCATCTTCCTTTGTGGCTCCTTGAGGTCATGCTTATATGAAGTAAAATGAGCAAGTATCCAAGCGAAGCTGGACAAAGAGCAAACTGCTGCTATCGGCCTCCAAAATTCTAGAAAGCAGAGGTCTCTCCCTAAAAAGTCTCCCTTTTGGGGCTGGCCCTGTGGCATAGTGGTTAGGTTTGTGTGCTCTGCTTTGGCAGCCCGGGGTTGCAGGTTTGGATCCCGGGCGTGGGCCTACGCACCGCTTACCAAGCCATGCTGTGGTGGCGTCCCACATATAAAGTGGAGGAAGATGGGCACGGATGTTAGCCCAGGGCCAGTCTTCCTCAGCAAAAACAGGAGGATTGGCATCAGATGTTAGCTGAGGGCTAATCTTCCTCCCATACACAAAAAAAGTCTCCCTTTTTCCCCTTATCTTCTTTCATTCAACTGGTTGTTTCATTAAATAGAATTCAGGATAGAGGACAATATGTCTTCAATATTGGGTTTATTAGTACTACAACGAATTTGCTTCGTACTAATTTTCACCATAAAAGTACAGGACTTCAACGACACTGTGAGTTAAGAAGGCTTTTGTGGGGCTAGTCTGGAAACCTCACTATCATTTATAATATTGTTTTTTTTTTTTTTTTTT